AAAATCCAATATCAATCGAATTGAATGTTCGATTTATTCCAAATTTTATACAACGTTATACTTTAACCTAAGTTGACCATAATACATCCTCTTTATTAGAGGACAGTCATCTATTTTAACTGGCTGCCATCTATAAAATATATGTCCTATATCTGTCATCTATTTCTATATGTCCTATACCGATTCATCTATTTTTGAAAATTTATCAATATTTATTTTAGTAAATTTATATGTTTACTTCTTTTCTTATTGTCAACTTTATGAGAAAACATATTGATCCTGATTTTTGTGACACTATTGGTAGGTTTCAGATCCCACAAGAATTTTCTATTCGGCGAAATAGTTTGTGATTATAAAATAACGTCAAAAGATCTAAATGTTCCAGTACTCAGAAAGTGGTAAAACTTTTTAAATGTGTAAAGGGAAAATCGAAAACAATTTTGATTGGTTCAAGTTGTCTGCAGGTTCAAAAGCTACGCACATATCGTTGTCAGGGTGCGCAAAAATTCGCTCGAGAATGTTCGCACACACATAACAAACGAGTGAGAGCAAACAACAACGTTCGTTCGATTCGTTTGGTGGTTGAAATTCTTTCTGACATTCTCTCACGAATGAAAACAAACATTCCCGAATTCTCGCGATTGCTCAAAACGGCTCAACGACGCTTGCAGCGAAATTTTATCATTAGTGAATTTTTCGTACAATGCGAACATTCGCAAGAGATTGCAAATGCTTGTTCATTCATTGTAACGTTATAATTCCTGATAAATTGAAAAAATTCGAATTCTCGCCCGTGAGCATTCGTGAGAAAGATCGTATTTTTATCATTCTTCGCACCCTGATCGTTGTGCAAAAGGTAATATTGTTTACCTATAATAAATATCGGCATTGGTCGACATTCTTTTACTAATAATACTATTGTGTTTTATTTTATTGCTTACGACTACGTATTGGACGTACTGATTCTATTGGGAGAACCACAATTGCACTGTACCTGCCAACCATTATTACTATTTTATTCAATTAAAAAATCATTAATCGAAGTAAATAGTTTTTTCTCTCGATTTCACCTGTTTTCAAATAAATTGTTTAATTTGTTCTTGTTGTCATATATTTTTATTTTCAAAATCTGGTCGCCTTATTTTACCAAAACCCAATAAAGTCAATCCCTTTATGGTACCTCCACCAAAAAGTGTCAAAATTTTGAAAATTGTATGTGAAGCTAATGAAGTATCAGATTTGAACAGTGAAATTAAAACCGTAATGGGATCCATCGGTCCTCCTCGCAAAGGGTAAATACTATGTACTTGATTCCGAACTCGGTTGTTTTACCATTATTTGATTTGATTTAAATCGCCTATAACTATTTATGAATGTCCTTTATAATTTGAACATACATTTTTTTATTGGAAGTGTCAGACGATGGCCAGCTAAAGCGTACAGTCTAAATCGTTTATAACGACACTATATCACTTATAACGTCCTATTAAAAAATCCGAAGGAAAGTTCTACCCTTTATCAGATATCGTTTATAACGACATATCGCTTATACCGTTCAATTCCGTCGGTCCCTGAACCGATTTCGAGTGTAGTTAAATTTTACCGAATAAAAATGGAAGCCATAAGTATTAACTTCTGGCTGTTGTGTATTAATTTTTATTAATTTTTCGGATCTAGAGCATTTATGCACATTTCTACTCTCAGAACGATTTTAGAATTTCTCTGTTTATAAGTAACGCTAAACTAAAAGAAAATTTTAAAATTTAAAGAATAAAAATGCTCTATTTTAATATTTAATTTTATTTTAATATTTAACTATATTTTTACCATTTATTTTTTTAATTCTTGGTAAGGTATATTTTTATAAATACGCAAATTATTTAAAGAATTTATTGAAAGTTTTCTCGTCGGTTAATTATTTTTCGTCAACAATTAATATTGATAATTTTCATTAATTCCATGGGCATTAGCCTGTTGCTTGAAACATTTGCCATAATCTTCAGCTGCCTGACAAGGATCCGATGAGACTTGAATATTGGCGCAAGCATTGATAATTTCGGAAGCCACTTTCATTTTATCAGCATTTCCATCGGTTACTTTTTCGGCATGTTTTAAGGCAGATTCTGTGACAAGTTTTCCAGAGGCATCCATCTGAAAAATAATCGTAAATTAATAAAAACACGAACATATATAAACTTCTAATCAGTTAGGAGGCATTACTTACCACTTCGAATTTCTTCATTAGGCAGGCACGCAGACATTTTCCTTCCATAGTTGAAGCTGGTTTCCTTCCCACCAATTCCTCTATATCGACTGTAAAATAAAGAATTTCATTATATTTTCTTTAATTGAAATTCAAATTTCAAACTATAGGAAGGTGTAATTTTTTTGGATTGCCTAACATCATTCCTCCGACGTGAATTTCGATTAATGATAGTCGATTTTATTTCCTTTGGTGTATAATTGTAATTTGTCTGTGAAAAATCATACCATCAGTGGCGCCAACTTCACTTTTACATTCTTGTGCTTTAGTTTTAAGCTTTTCAATAGCTTGTGCCTTATCGAATTCTCCACGAACAACAACAGCTCCAACAATGCACATAACAGCCAAGGATACCCAGAATTTCGCCATTGTAGTTAATTTTTTGGGTTTAAATCTTTTTTAAATTGTTATGTATAATATTTGGATGTTGAATTCCAACTGCTATTCCACTTCGATTTTCCACTTATTTATTTGAAATTTAAACTTAAATTTTCAAACGATGTTTCATTCTTTAGTGGAAAATAATTCATGTGTGAAATTATGGGTTGTGATCTTTAGAGTGACGAAAAATGCTATAAAATAAAGTTGGCCTTCTAGTTTCGGACATTTAATTATTATTTTGTCACTTGTGAACTATGATTTTGACATTCGTTTTCCAATTCAGATAAAATGTGATCTGTGAACTTTGTTTTGCATATTTGGTTTGACTTCCTATTCAATGATTGTGACGTCAGACAATTTATTTATTCTTATAGTATAAAAACCTTAAAGGCCTTAATATCTATCTACTGAGAATAATAAAATACATAGTCTGACATAAATTACACACTAAAGTGAAATATATTCTAATAACTAATTTCACTTCCATAAAAATAATGTAGGCTCCAGTCATTAAAATTCAATATAAAATTAAAGATAGTTAGACACGTGGGCTGTGGTTACATTTATTATTCATGCAGAAAACTGATTCAGTTTTAATACTTAAACATTAAACGATCAAATGTTTGCTACGTTTTGGTCAATATTCGGTATTTTAGGTGTTTAAATTGATATTTTGGATGCACTTTGGTTATCAGATCGGCGTAGCCGCCATATAACGGTAAGGGGGTAATTCGGTCCTCTTTCCCAGAAATGATTGAAAACTCATTTAATGAGTAATGAATTAGTTCTAGTATGATGTGTGTTAAGTTTCGTGAAAATCGGATAAGATTTAGAGCTTTAGATTTATAGCTCCCCTAAATATTTTCGTCCGATTTAAGGTAAATGGTGTACCAAAGTCCTTTAATATCTTTCGGTTTGCACGAAATTTGGCACAGCGTAATGACTTAGGTCTAGAATGTTTCCTGAAATCGGTTCAGATTTATATATAGCTTCTATATCTGACCAAATGAAAAATTTTGTGTCGGTTGCAGAATGACATGTTTACGGATCCAATTTAATTTTACTGGTCCTTTAAAAATTCCACGTCTGTTAGGATTCATATGTTGTATATACCCAAAGTGGTGAAGGGTATCATGTAGTCGGCTCCGTCCGACTTTACTACTTACCTTACTGTTTTTTTTATTTTTTTTGGAGCATGAACAACCTACTATAACATAAAACCATGACATAGTCCCCATATATAAATGTCCTGATCGACTTAAGGATTTTTGAATGCACCTCACGTGGTGAAGGGTATAAAAAGGTCGGTCGAATTTAACGACGTTTTTTGTTATTTTCATTTAATATGAACCTTATTAAAATTCAACCGAAAATCTCAACAACTCTGGAAGATATATCCGACTTATTGCGTCAGTATCAAGCGAGGCCAAAACCTCTTTTAAAACGTTAACCTCGTTTCTCTCGAAACAGTGTTTTTACGATTGGCGGCACGATTACTCAAAAACTAATTGTCCAATCGGTTCCAAATTTTAACACGTTTTTCTGGACCTACATAGTTATCGTATGAAATAGAATAAATCCAGTCGCTGAAGATCTTCTATATTTTCTAGCTTGGTTTTTGGCCGAAAATATGAGATTTTTCCAAAAATGTCCGTTCTAATTGCGTTGAAATTTTGAGATTAGGATTATACGGTGGTGATCGGCAATCATGCCCGCCATCGAAAAGAAAAAGGAGACAAAGTTCACCTATTCCTAACTGAATATATATTTTTTCTAAGCCTAGATTTTGCCTTACCATTGATATAAAAAACTTCTTCTATAATAAAATACTTTGAATTATTTTTTAGTACCAGTTCGCTATAACCGAAAACCAGTACCCTAATATTATGTATTGTTGTAATTGCTGGATCACATTTAATGTGCTTCATACATATCTCTTAATTGAATTTTATGTTGTTATTTCAATCAAAATAAAAATATAATTACACACATGACTTACTTTTGGACAGAGCTGGCGGAGGGAACGAATATAACATATTTTTTTACATAAATAAATTGTAACCCCCGAATTTGGATAACAGTGTGGAATCAAAATTCAAAGAACTAAAATTACGTTACTCATTACTACCATTCAAAATAAAAACCCAATAATAATGACAAAATTCGTAATAATATTGGTTGTTAACTGCATTTTTGCAGCTGTCCACGGAGAATTCAATAAAACCGACGTCATTGCCAAATTGATGAAGAGAACTGAAGAATGTAAAACAGATGTTGGTGCCGCGGACGGTAATATTTATTAAAATTCTGAAAATGTTTTCATTATACAACTATTTACTTGCTTAATTTTCCTACAGTCGATATAGAGGAAATGTTGGAAAGAAAACCAGCCTCAACAATGGAAGGAAAATGTTTGCGTGCATGTCTAATGAAAAAGTTCGAAATGGTAAGATGTTTTGATAATCAAACATACGACCAGAAAAATATACATATTTGTGTTTTAATTCACAATCCTCCTTCAGATGGACACCTCTGGAAAATTTGCCACAGAAATTGCTTTGAAACATGCCGAAAAAGTAACCGATGGCAATGCTGATAAAATGAAAGTAGCTTCGGAAATAATTAATGCATGTGCCAACATTCAAGTCTCATCGGATCATTGTCAAGCAGCTGAAGATTATGGCAAATGTTTTAAGCAGCAGGCTAATGCTCGTGGAATCGATGAAAATTATCAATTTTAAGAACTAAAATAAATGATTTATTTATTAATTGTGTTCCAGTAAAAAAAAAATGTTTTATAGCAATTTTCAATTTTTTCAAAATGGAATAAATAGTAAAAAAATAATATTAACACTAACTAAAGTCAGACTAGACATTTCTTAAAAATTATTAAATTTAAATATACAGCTTATTTTGAGACTCATAGAGAAATTTGATATAGAATATTTTATTCTTTGATACTATGCTCGTAAAATTAAGTTTCATGTTACTTTCATACAATTTGTTGAATTTTTTTTTTTATTTTTTAATTTGTTATCCCAAATTGACTCTTGTTTAGTGACTTATACTAAAATTTCATGTAAAATATTTTTGTCCTTCCAAAACTAAATCTTATTGGAAAAATTTATACAAACTCGGAAAAAAGATGAAAATTTGTATATTTTTAAGGTTTTTGACTTTTTTATTCTGAGACATATGGTAAAACTTTAATGCGAACATTTTTGCAGAATATTCTAACATGCTATAACCGCTTTAAAATGCTTTTTCAATAATTTCTGCTAAAGGGCGACCGAAAAGACCCTTCAGAGAGCCGACTGAGGGTTAACGTATTAGACAAAAATATTCCTAACATTTATATCAGCAATATTGCCAAAGACACCATATACCTAAAATGCAAGGATTTCAAGAAATTTTAATCCGAATATGTCCTAGAGATGGGAAATATTGTCACGTCTTTTTAGGTTACCCTTCGACGTAAACTTTCAAAATACCGATGCATGTATCTTCTATTTTCAACCCTCAATCATAAGTTTTTGGAATTTGCCGAAAATTACTTTTTGTGTTGAAGAGTGTTATTAGTTTTTGAGTTATCGTGGAGAAAAACGAGAAAAACGTGTTTGAAAATTAAAGGGACATTCTTCAATTAGTGTAGGCTCGAATAAAATAAAAAATTAAAATTCAATGTTTTGAAACCTAGAATAGGAGGTCCCCTTAATCCAAAATTTGCAGATCGGTTAGGGACACTTGAATTAGATACCGATAAAAAATAATTAATAAAGCTGTAACAAAATTACTATGATTTTTAGACAGATTTTCATTTATACATGGATTTTAATATATATTATTTTAATGTATATATAATTTTGAGTTCCTACATCTAGAACAGATCCATATAGACTAATTAAAAAACCGCACGATAATCCAATTTTTGAATAAATTAAAGCGCTAATTTTGGATGGGTACAAATGTACCACAGTTATTGATCTACGTAGGTAATAACTTTAAAAACGTGAAAAATATATTCCGAGTGCGTGACAAACATCAATTCAATTTGAATAGGAAATAGAGGCCGGTATATTAACTCAATGAGAGTTTAGCAACCAATGTATTCTTTGGAATACTTTTTCACAAAAATGCATAAACATTTAAAATCGAAAAATGGAAGAAAGTAGGAAAATCGAGCCCTCACTACATTGGGAATATGCATGAATTGCGTTTACTATACCGGAAGAATATATGGAATTTATGTCTTCGTATTTTTTTTATCAATAAATAGTATCTTGTTTTGATAAATAAATTTATCATAAAAGGATAACCGATGTAACCAATAAGATTACCATAATCATCCTACAAAAAACTTCCTGCAAAAATCTTCTCTCTCCCTTTAATACAAAATATATAATTTGATGAATCCAACATTTTTATTATTCGTATTATTAAATGTTTGATAATTAATATTGATAATTTTCATTAATTCCATGAGCAATAGCATGTTGTTTGAAGCATTTGCCATAATCTTCAGCTGCTTGACAATGATCCGATGAGACATCAATATTGGCACAGGCATTGATAATTTCCGAAGCCACTTTTATTTTATCAGCATTGCCATCGGTTACTTTTTCGGCATGTTTCAATGCAACATCTGTGACAAATTTACCAGAGGCGTCCATCTGGGAGATACATGTAAGTAAAATGTAAAGCAAATAAATACATATATGAACTTCTAATTAGTTAGGGAGGCATTGCTTACCACTTCGAACTTCTTCATTAGGCAGGCACGCAAACACTTTCCTTCCATAGTTGAGGCTGGTTTCCTTCCTACCAGTTCTTCAATATCGGCTGTAAAATAAATGATTTTTCTCATTTTATATAATTTGAATTAAAATCGCACTGTGTAACTTGATATGGTAACAGTAAATATAGCATCGTGGTGTTATGCAAAATAATTTGTCCATATAGATTTTACCTTGATTATAGTAGTCTACCATATTTTATCCTTTTATATAGTCTTACCATCAGATGCACCCACTTCACTTTTACATTCCTCAGCTTTAGATTTAAGCTTTTCAATGGCTTGTTTTTTATCGAATTCTCCACGAACGACAACAGCTCCAAAAATGCACATAACAGCCAAGGCTACCCAGAGTTTTGCCATTTTAGTTATTTGTTTTTATTTAATGATTTGTTGATGTTAAATGTTTGAATATTCAATTCCAACTGCTATTTCACCTAAAATTTCTTGCTATTTATTTAAAAAGCATTTTCACATTATTTCCCATCCTTTTTAGCTGACAACAATTCATGTGTGAAATTATGGGTTATAATCTTGGGATTGATTAAAAATACTACCAAAAAAACTTGAATGAGTAGTTTTGGACATTAAATTGTTTTATTATCAATTCTGAACTTTGATTTCACTTCCTATTCAATGATTGTGATGTCAGAAAAAGGTAATGAAAAAATAAGGACTTTTCTTTAATTACAAAAAACAACAACAAAACAATAACCAAAATTTTTTGTAAATTATTTTTCTTCTTTTTTAAATCTTCAAATATATATGTGCAATGTTACAAACCTTAAAAAGCATTGGCATTCATTTACCAGCCCATTGAAAATCTTGAAAAATTAAAATCGAGAGGGGGGGGGTTCCCTTAAATAAATTTATTGCAACCCATTTGTACCTAAATATAATCTACGCCTTGATCTGATATATGTATGTATTTTCGTTTGAGTTCATGCAAATTGTGTACCAAATACTAAACGTTCCTCCGATCGAGATAAAATTTGGGACAGTGCACTGTATCAAATATTGTCCTTATGAACATCTCTTGTATGTACCCAAAGTGGAGAAGTGTATCATAAAGTCGGCCCCGTTCGATGTTTGATCTTTCCTTGACATGTGTCAAAATGTTCAAATTATTGGTAATTTGAAGATAATCATCATAAAAGTGATTTTTTTCCAAATTGGTCGTGTTTCAAAACCTAGTGCCAAGCAGCGCCAGAGAATATTTTATTGGTTATATCATCAAACGAAATATTATATTTTCTCTGTCCAGAATTTTGTGAACGTCTGACATCGTTCATTAACTTGAAAGTTATAGCCGATAATAATTATAACAATTATTGAAAGTTGCATGTATTAATGTAATAAAAAATTAAAATAGACTTTTACCAATATAGCATTGGAAGATATTAGTCTCAAATTCACCAAAATTGCCTGTGTTTGGCATTGTGTAGCACATATTTTTAGCAAATATCAATTTTTACCACTATTTGGGGTAGCCAACATATAGCGGTAGTCCCTTTATTTTGCTCTTTTTCTTCTGGTATTTGCTGTAATTAGTTATTTTGAAGTTTCATTAGTTATTAAATCTTCGTACCAAAAACTATCAACATTGACTTAATTTTCTGGGTGAACCCCATATAAACACTATTGTTTGGTACGATTTTCAACCAAATCGATTTTATTTCAAATTTAATTAAGACTAGCAGACCCGAACATTTTTCAGGAGAAGGTCAAGTTTTGATCTAATTACTCTTTTCTCAAAGGATAATTTAGTATGGATGGCGTAATTGCTATTCCTATTTTGATCACATACGATTCATAAGCCCTTTGGAGACGTTCTTGAGTTATAAAAGGTTTAAGTAACACAACATTCGATTACTCCAATCTACGACCATTTTATGTTTTTCTTAAAAATTTTCGTTGGTAAAACTCTTTCCACTGCAATTAAAAACAAACGTAGGAAAATGTGAGTCAAATTGGTGCAGTCGTTATCAATGTTTTCAAGATTTTCGCGTATTTTTCAGATTACAGATGACTGAAAAATATTTGTAGTCAAATCGGTCCCGCCGTTCTATACATTGTTTACTTCATTTTTATAAGTAGATTTAAATGAATTTTATTTGAATGTGATAAGTTATTCTTTTTTCGTTTGACTCCAATGCGCTTTTCACGAAAACAGGCTATGTATGAATCGGTGTCGGAATACTTAATGTCGATTAAGCACCCAATCTTTAATCGGGCAAAACGCAAAGAAAATATATACCGCGCCATCCTCACGCCCCATAGAGCATAAACATAATGTTTGGTCGAAATCGGTGCAGTAGTTCTTGAGTTACGGTGCAAAACACAAAAAAAAACTAAATATTATTTCTTTACAAAAATGTTTCAATATTAGCCCTAATTAGCTTACCTTTCATATTCGTGGCTTTGTTTTTATTATTTTTGAGCCATGCATTGTGGAGGTTATAAAAAGACCGGACCGGCTGAAAATAAGACGTTTCTCCTTTATTTTTCCAAATTAACCATATTCTTGATTTTCAAAACCAAAGTTTCTTAAATTTAAAATTGCTGAGATCCCTATAACAGTTTTTTTATCATTTCTTCGTTTATTATGGAAATTAGTTTTTACGATAAAATCGGGAGAACGTAGCAAGTCAGATATCAATCCCCAGTGCAATATTTTTATTAAGGCGAATTCACAGAATGAGATTTAGTGACAGCTAGACAGTCTGCTTTCAATCATTTGTATGAAATCGAGCAAAATACGTTTGGGAGCTATATATAAATGGGCGTATTTAAGCAACTGTGGCATCCATCATTTGGTATGCTGCAGCACAGTGCGCATTTCAAAAATTTATCTCGACACAAAATCCAATACACGTTATTCAATGTTTCATTTTAATGAAATTGGACGAAAATATATATGGAAGCTATATCTAAACCTGAAACAATTTC